AATGGTGTAACATTGACGTCCATGAGAGGTGGGGCCCGTGGGCGTTTGATGAAAATGGCACGTCATTCCTTGACAATGATAATGGATTGTGCAATAAAGGGTTAGAAAACACATGGCCCCCGAATCCCAGCCAAAGGTCGTTGTGTAAAATATCGCCAGAAGGATCAGAGTTGTAAAGTACATTTTGAGACAGCGAACGTATTTGAAAATGAATTCCTGGTTGATGAGGGTTGTCAGGTGCTTGAGCGAGATATGGGTTGTGCCCCTGGACTTATATGTACTGGCGATCTCCCAATATACCCGAACACATGTGTGACGCGTCGGCTCAAGAATATCTGTTATCAAGGACCGTGGTGGGATAGTCACCCATGTCCCCGAGAATTTTCTACAGTCGAAAGCCGCTTGAGTCGATTTGAAGCGATCACTGCCGCTCTATCGACCATGCTTGTATTCCCAGGAGATATTCTTGGAACATCGCGTTGTGAATATTGGTACCCTGAGGTTGGTCCTAAATCTGCACAAGCTGCACATTCCCGCAAGCTTATGTATAATATACTTGCTGCATTGTGGCCTACACACAAATATGGTGCGGTCCCGTCTCTTGATGAGGTTATGAGTTTACTGAGCGGACCTGAACAAATCGGAGACTACAGTCAATGCGTCACCGACAGTAAAGATAATTCCACAGCAATTTACAATGCACTTGCAATGGCCGGTGGTAGAGCGAGTCAGCCGAATCAAGTTTGGAGTATTGTACATACAGTCATGCACAATTACCCTATCACAGGCATGACAAGTAATCAGGTACAGGCGTCGCGTGCATTGGCTGATTTTCTGCAGCATAATTTCTGGTGCACGGATTGTCGTGGGGTTTTCGCTGTAGGTGTTTTGAATGAATTTGGTTTTCCTCCCCAAACTAACGATCCATATGCTCACGCCAAGTGGTGGTGGCAAGGTCACAATACAGCTAGTGAGCATACGGCCTCAACTCGTGGTGGACACCCTTGGCTGTTTCCTCATGGAGACGAGGCAATTGCAATGGTGGGAGGTGGCAATCTCTTCTATATGAGCTATGAGGACTCGGAGCAGATGTGGACCCTTCCAGAAAGTTTTGAAGATCTGATCTGAACAATCGCGTTAAAGTATACGAGTATGCAAAAGTACTTTTGGTATACATCTCGCCTTAGGTGCGCTACTTTGTTGCATTCATATTCTCATATTAATTCGTAACAATCAAGTCCAGACTCCTTTGATAATCTCAACATTCGTTTGTATTTGGAAGTGGTATGGGATGTCTGTTAGGGTTTCAACTCCAGGCCTGAACTTTATCCTATTTTCTCGACTGGATTCTACTGCAATCGCTCGTCAGTGGCACTCTTTGTGATGAAGACTTTCACACGGATGATCCTCCGAAGCACATGTGTAGAACACCGTTATTCTAGCTATGTCAGCTCGAAGACCGTGATTTAGTTACGAATAATGTGTCTTGAGCCTTCTACAATATGTATAGTGACGTATATCAGGGAGTATTTCAATAAACACTAGTACTAGATTAGACTCTATGTCGCGCGCGCTATCCATGGGATCTGATGAGTTATAGTGGATAATTATATGGCGGCATGTATCGAACACGGTGGAAAAATACATGCTGTGCAAGCTAGCTCATTACTTTACATGGTGTCCATAAATAGTCCTCGTGCATATTTATCTCTAAGTTGTCAACATATTAAGCAAGATATGCGTGACTACGGAAAACAGGGGTCTGAGTGCAGTGCTGCATATTTTTGTAGCTTGTTTATACTGTACGGGTGATATTGCAAGGATAGCAAATATTGCATTAAAATCGATGGAATGGGCAATACATACGTGAGATAGAATAGTTCGTTGCAGTGCACCAAACAGACCTAAGAGTACACTACAAATATGTACACGTGGTTGTGTCAAACAAGTTTCGTATCGTAATATATGAAACTGTGCAGTGGAGCCTATGTCTATCATTTTATACCAAATGTGAACAAGGTGAATCTTGAAAAATTAAACTTCACGGATTAATTTCACAGGCGACAGGCGCTGCATGATTACTATTACGAATCGCCAATATTGAACATTTCATCCGCTCGCGCAAGCTACTAATGTTTCAGATTTACGTTTCAGTTTTTCTTCTTCTAATTGATTCTAAAATAAATCCTGTTCCGCACAGATAAATTATTTCTATGCACATATACCTTAGCATAGTGGACATCAATGATAGTATAGAGTAGAATATAGACGATATCTATACCATGCATCCCATACACTCTGATAATGCTATATAAGATTTTTCGGTGTATAACAAACAGTAGTGCATTTATTTACCATTTAAAGTCCGTGAAATAGAGCATTGTCACGCCGGTCGACAGTGCCCGTACGCGAAACGTGCACTCGAAAGCTGAGAGTTACGCAATGTTACAATGAATGTGCGCTTTCACAATTGGCGCTGCATTCAGGTAAGACAAGCTTTGACTTACTATGAAGATCACACTTAATAAGTTCCAGACCAGCAGGGCAACATTGTAGTACACATGACTTGATATATCTTGCACAATACGTTAGTATGTCACATCACTTACCAACAACTAACGAGCTAGCAATTTTACATTCGCCATGAAATTCTATCCAGTGGTACATAATCAGAGCTGTGCGCAATACTAAGAGTATGACTTTGAGTATACGCCACATTAAGAGTGTATAGTTAAGCCATTGATAACTTATTTCACTATGTACATTGATATTCATTTAAGCGTATCCACGCTGACTTGGAAACAAACCCCCGACGAACGATTTAGGGTATATTCGCGAACGAATTCGATGACAACCATCCACTAGCACAGTACAGGCGCATAGTGTTACAAAGAAGAACCAATTATATTTACTCTGCTTTACACTTAAGTGTGGCCTCCTCCAAGCGCCGCGTGCGCTCCTCTCGCCATTGCTGCATGCTCTTCTCGTACGTGCCAAATGGTGTGGCCAGCTCCGTGGGTTTGGCAAACTTATCGCTGTGCAGAAGAATAGCCGTAGTGATACATGTATATTTAAATGCTACTCGTGCCATGGGCTAACCCAGCAGTCTACAGGCGTACATCACAATGAAGGTGGCTATGAATATGCTCGATGAAATATGGTCTGAGTAGCTATATCGCAGTGCTGACGCAATCTGCAAATTCGCAAACGCTATAGACATGATACTGGCTCAAAACTGAGCCAATACAACATTATGGCAAAGGGGCGAATAGTATGTTGATACTCCCCACAATCCACAAATGCCCCTCAGATTTAACTAGTATCAACATACCTTTGCATGTGTCACTCATCTTACTTCAATAGTGTTGATTAATCCGATATTGCTAGAACTATTATTGTAGCCGGGGTGTGTACTTAGCGATGGGTGGTGCGTTGCTTGCAGTATTCGTACTTCGCTTCCCGAAAATGCACAAGGCTTCACCATCTTCACCACCATCTTCCTCACAATCGTGTATGCTATTATCACTTAACATAATCATATGCACAATGTCGGTAACAGGTTTGTTTTCACATGAATGTGCTAAATATTGAATGTCAAGCGTGCAACATACAGATCTTTACTGTCACACACGACCATCCTATCGGCCGTTTTTTTCTTCAAGAATACTTTCAGCAACTTCATAAACCCCTTGAGGATAGAAGGGCTATCTACCAGTAATACTCGTTTGAGTTTGATTGGGGGCCCGTCTTGATATAGCCAAGCCTGTTCAAATGAAGAAAGGATATGTGAATAATCACTCCGAATCCATAGTCTTGTGAATGGCTGGAGCACTTTTGGATGACATTTCCCCATAGTATCACACGACCGTTGAATGTCTGGTGTTGAATCGAACGTACATTTGATCAACAATATAACTATGCAATTAAAGCCGAGTACTATTCGTGATTCTCCGATGCAAGATGGATTTGAAATTACCTTGATGTAATTTCGATATTTCCCGACACACAGACAGGTGACTGCGCCCAGCCGGGTGATTATGACTTACCATTTCCTTCTCCAGCTCTAAACTCATGTTCTTTAATCCAATACCCTTGCAATCGCACACGAACATTATACCCTTCCTTGCCTGTGTGGTTGAGAATAGAATGAACATCCGAATTGTACGAGATCCTATTGCTTGACTTCATGACAAACACGAACGTGACTGATGTGCCCTACAGGTCAACTTTTTTGATCTTGTACAGTGTACGAAATATAGACTGGCTTGTATATACAGGCCACAAAAGTGTGTGGTACTTGACACGGGCGATTGATTCAAATACCGCTTGACCGGTGTACGATGTTTTTGGGCTGCAAATTTCCAATATACTAACCTCATTCAGGTCACACACGCACAAGGCCAAGTAGTGCATAAAGCCGGCAACCAAGCACTGCATGCCCTTCTCCCCGTCCTTGTGCAAATCATTAATAATACAATTTCGATAAACCATTGCCATCATGGAGTGCCCTTCCTCTGAATGCCCGGCAGGGATCATCAGATATTGAGTAATGGAAAGATGCGAATTAAGTAATGTATTTTTAAAAGTTTAATATCGAAACAGGCAGCGAGATAAGACAATTTCCACTGTACAACTGGAGGCGGTTCTAGACACCAAAAGGATTGAGAAACCATTTCGTCACGAATAAAGCCACAATGATACTAATAATGGCCACACTGTCTTCATCTAAATTAGATACATGAGCTCGATCGATCATGAATTATCATACAATATTATAATATAGTGCAAAACCAGGGCAAAGTTCAGGACCACGATAGAACATGGACCAGACGGACGAGGATACGTATGTTAAATAGAATTCGACGTACATTTGAGGAATACCCGCTGACCCTTCCAGACCACAATGGCAAAGACAGTATACTTGCTCCATGCAATAGTGCTCAAGATAAGAAAGGTGCTATTCCGATGCGTGCGCTTGGCAAATTTCTATTGCATAGGCATATAGAGAAGAAAACTTGACATACATTTGAGCCACATACTGACCCTTTTTAACAGATTTATAAAAACAACAATAAAATAATTTGAGGTAAATATGCTTTCCAGCTGATAATGGGTTCGTAGTTCGCAGTATTAAAGTACCTCATATAAAACAATCCAAATACATAACCAGAACGTGAAAAATAAAAATGAAAAATATGTAAAAGAAGCTATAACATGATTCATCACCCATTCGTCTATCGGCTAGGATATAAGCTTCTCACGCTTGAGGGCGGGTTCGATTCCCCGATGGGTAACTTTTTTCTGAAAAAGGATTTAGCTAGAAAAGAAAACGACGAGATTTTCCACTAAAAGAAACAAAAATTTACCCATCGGGGAATCGAACCCCGCCCTCAAGCGTGAGAAGCTCATATCCTAGCCGATAGACGAATGGGTTACAAGAAAAACGCAAATTGTACAAATCCATAAATCAGATTAAAAAAAACCCTCAACGAAATACAGGCTCATTCACTTACACTATTCTACAGATATATACAACATGCAAGCAATATACTAAATGAACAAAATAATATATATATACCAAATGACGCCACAAGACTATACACACATGCAACGATAAGGAATGAACACAATATATATATATACATACATATATATATATATAAATATATATAATTATATATAATTATATGTATATAATTATATACATA